TTCACAGAACAGACATGAAACCCAAAGGCAGTAAGATCTTTTAACCAAGGGCAATAAACTGTGAAGAATTGACCATGCAAAGGAAAACAGGTTTGGGCTCCTAGGGGCAGTAAACTGTGGGAAGGTGACTAGGAAACATATGGTAGGTAAGGATTGTTTAGTGGGTTTGCTATGGAGGTGCAAGATGTTCTCTGAAAAGGGTCTTGTCCTCTTCTTGGTATGGGAGAAGGGGATGTCTTTATAAATGGGAATGTATATCACTTTTACAAAGGGAAATTTACTCCCTGCTTTTAGGCAGAAAGGGAGAGTTCTTGTGATGGCTGCTTTCCAGTTGCCTTCTGTTCCAAATAACCTTTATGCCAAAGTGGCATATTTTGGAGTGCTATACTCTGATTCCCTTCATTGGTGATTATGTCTATACCTACAAGGCAACAGATTTCATCTTTCCTTTGCAGAGGGAACAGAACAACAGGCCACAGGAACCAACAGGAGACTTCCAGGAACTTGAGGGGCAGGAGCAGATTCATAGCACGTGACTCCTTTCTCCATCTTTTTTTCTCCCTCAGCCTCTTTTCAGGACATGAGATGCTAAACATCAACTCTTTCTTCATCCCACCTCCAAGAGGAGTAGCTGGGACCCAAGGGTGACTCTTGATCAAAGACCCTCTTTCTCAGGCCCTTCCTGGAACTCCTTCTCATCCTTGGCTCCCACCCCTGCTTTTGGTTCCCCCCAGGCCTCTGAGCCCTCTACTCAGATGGGGGAAGTTGGCTTCATCTACCCTGGCCTCTGGATCTCTAGGCCATGCTAGACGTTCGCTTTCTTATTCTTAGTGGCACAAGTATTTGAAAGATTGGCAGGCCATTTTGATGCCTTCTCACTGAAAGGGATCCGAACATGACACCCCAAGTTTCGCCACTTTGGCATAAGGCTTATTTTGAACCAAAGGCAATCGAGAAAAATCAAACACCGAAAGTTCTTTGCCCAAAAGCACAGCAAAAATTTCCCTTGTGGAGGAGTCCCCCTCTCCCACACTAGGAAGAGGGAAACAACACTTATCCTCGGAGACAGAGAAGGCACCAAGATGAGTTTGCCTAAACAAACCTTATTAAATCACCCTTACCTGCCATTAATTTCTCCCATATATTTCTTAGTCACCTTCCCACCTTTCTTGCATCTGAAAGCCCAAGCCTTTATCTAGTCAGTTCTCCACAATTTATCACCCTTTGTCAAAATGATATATCAGCACCCAGGCCTAATTACTTCTTGGGTTTTCACTTCTTTTCTGTGAAGTCCCTGTGAATGTAAAAAAACGTTACTATCAATTTCTCCTGTTAATCTAGCATTTGGTCAGTTTAATTCACAGGTCCGAGGTACAGAACATAAGAGGGTAGAGTGAAAGTGTTTCTTCCCCTACATTACTGTCTGTCTCACTGTCTGTCTGGTTGATAAATATGTATTGACTGCCAGACTGCCAGAAAAGTCTACATATACCAGAGTCTGGTGACAGGTAAGAGCCTTCAGCTCAGAGACAGCTGTGCCATGCTGATCTGATGGAGCTTGGCAGCAAGCCTTAACAACTCGCTGCAAAAGGAAAGTGCAAAGGGGCCTAGTCAGCTTCTCCTCGGAGAGCACCAAGATACCATCAAACTCTGTCCCAGCCCAGGGAAAGCCAGAGAAAAAGTACCTCAAGCACTAAAGAGGGGGTGCGCAGGGGCAAAATGGGTAATGAGTCAGAAAGGAATGTCTACTACTAACCCACACTCGCATACCTGCATGCCAATGTGAAGAGAGCCCTGCATAAATTCCTTTCCACATACCAGGGTCTCACGCGCCCTTCTGAGGGCAGTTTTTCCATGTGAGAATCTGCCCTGTTCTTTATAGAACCATAAGTAGGTCATTGATTTGCTTTTGGATGGAACTCTGCAGAAGTGTGCTGTCACCGTGATATCTTTTTTTTTTTCCCTCTCATGCTTTCTCAACATCACCAGCCCTGGCTTTGTTCATTCAATAATAGAATGAAATTCATGCAGTAGCTCCAGAATCACTGCTCCAGAGGAAAATGGGGGGGGGGTGGGGGTGGGGTGGGAGGGGAGGTCAGCCAAAGCCTGGCCTAGTGGGTTTGTCTTTGTCTTTAAATAAATGAGCCTAGAACAAGATTTCCCGGGTTTGAAAGCAGATGCTTTTTGCAGTGGATTTCTTATGCAACAATATAAAAATAAGAAATTAAACCCAGGAACAAGCAGTAATTCTCCATCAGGATTTTGCCTTGAATCTCTGCCTCTCTTCCCTTCGAGGCAGGTATAGGGGAAAGAGCTCCATCTTAAGGGCCCAAATTTCCATCTGTTACTTTAGACATCAAGTCAGAGTTAATACTTTGAGAAAGCGTCACAAACCCCTTTGATGCAACAGGAAAGAAAAATATACTCTCCGTGCAGTAAAATTCAGGAGGTCCTTGTTCTTTGTTTCCACGATGCAATGCGTCACTTTGGAGACTCTCAGCAAAATGAGCCCAGGATGGCCATCAAGAGGAGGGCGTTTGCCTGTCCAAACACCTGCAGAGCAAGCAGATTCTCTATCCCGAGTCCTCAGCCTCCTAGTGGGAACAACCCAGCCAGCACTGTGTGCATTTTTTCTGTGACAGGGAAATAAAGCAAGGTAGAAAAGGGCGGAGGTTGCAAATGAAGTTTGGCCAAAGATTCTTGAGCCCACCTCCCTCTCCGTTTTAAAAAGTACGTGGGAGGTGGGGGGGGGGGGCTCAGCAGGTTAAGCGTCTGCCTTTGGCTGGGGCCATGATCCCAGGAGCCTGGGATGGAGCCCCACATCGGGCTCCCTGCTGGGTGGAGAGCCTGCTTCTCCCTCTCCCTCTGCTCCTCCCCCTGCTTGTTCTCTCTCTCTCTGTGTCAAATAAATAAAATCTTTAAAAAAAAAAAGTATGTACGTGTTTGGGTTGGGGGGGAGCAGGAGTGAAAGGTAAGCAGATGGAGGAGACGCATCTCTGAGGCAATATTTTAAAAGCAAAATTTCTCGCCCCTGTGGAGAAAATTCATACTTCAGTGGAAGACTCCTTATTGCCTACAGCACTTGCTCCCTCCAGGAGCTGTTTTAGAACTCTGTAAATTGTAGGTAAGGGATAGAGATGCAAATTCTGTCCTGTCTGGTTCATTTGGCTTCTTTCTCCCCTGGGTGTGTGGGCGTGTGGGTGGGTGGGTGGATGGGGGGGGGGGAGGCACCAAAACTCAGCTTGCCTCCATTTGCAATTCATTTCAACATTCTTTACTCCCTATAAATCCGGGCTGCTGCTTTTTAAAGTCGGTTATAAAATGTGCTTCCTTCCCTCCGCTGCGGGGAGTACAGTATAATCTTCAACACATGGTAATTTTTTCTATCTGGATGAGGGTCACCGTGCCACCCTTTCTTCTACACATTCTCTCGTAACGTCCTCGGTCCTCGTGCGCCTTCTTTCTTAAGTCTCAGCCGAGGGAGGCACGGCGGAGGCCTTCCGGCGGGGCGGGGGGGGGGGGGGGAGGCCAGTCGTTGGTCGGCCGATCTCCAGGGAAGGGGCAGACGTCTCCCGGAGCTGCGCCCCCACGGAGGGAGCAAATTGGCTCTTCGCAGGGGGATGGTCCCTGTGTGCCTCTAACCTCCCAGGTTAACACGGCCATCTCATACACGAGTCTGGTCACCTTTCGGGAGCCGGGCATCCTTCCCGTTTTGAAAGGCATTCCTTCTGGATGTAGGTTTCCCACGCTCTGGACAGGCAGATCGCTGTGTGGGAGAGCTAGTTTCACCCAGTGGGCAGGGCTGAGTTTCTGTTAGCCTGGCGGCAACCAACCCCCTGCGCTCTGCCAACACACAATGATCAGTGGCATTCCTGACATTCCTGACATAGCCGAGAAGCCAGGCTTGGCCCCGCAGATGCCCTTGAACTGTGGTTCTGACCCTAATGGGGCATTTATCTTTTATTCGCAGCCAGAGGTTAGGACCTATTTATGTAAATCCTCCGCCAAGGGTCAATTCATCTTGACCCCCTGGTTTTCATTTCCCTAATTGTCTCAGGTATTTTTTAGACCCCTTGGAAACTCTTCATTCAATGAAAAGCTTTGGGGTCAGTAAGAATTCGGTTACAAAGGGAAGGGGTGGGAGGCCCCGAAGAGTTGAGGAGGCTTCTTTGAAGTGTTTTAAGGAGCTTTCAGATGCCACCCAGTTTACAAAGTAAAAACAGCAATGACCTCATGCACCCCGTTTTATTCACGGAAAATAAGCTTTCTTGAAATGGTATCTTCACCTAAGACGTTTCTTAGAGCCCACATTGTCCAATTTCAGTTTCCTGAAGCAGGCATTGTCCTATCTCAGCGGTGGTAAGGGGTTGGGAAGGAGCCATTAGAATTGAGGGCCTATGGGCGGGTGCTGGTTCCTCAGACAATTGTCCCCACTTAATAGGCCCTGGCACCCTCCCAGCTTTGCATTTTAAAAGGGAGCCCCAGAAGAGTGAGAAAAAGACGTGATTCCTAAGAACTGACCCAGGTTACCGGGATTTCAGGCCACATGGGAAGCTGGTGGGGGAGATATTTAGAGGTCAGCAGGTCTTTTGGGGGCCTTCAAATCATTCTTGATTGACAGCCTGTTCTCCAGCCTCCACCTCTCAGTAATAAAGACTTTGAGGGGGAATCCCTTGGAAACCAGCCCAACTGCTGAACAACCCTGACAGCGAATTTCTCTTTCTCACTGACTGAATTTTCATCTTCTATACCTTAAGCCTGTTGGATCCCCCCACCCCCACCCCGCATGCTCCATTTCCAATTGAAAGGTGGGTAGAAGCTTCTCTTTAAAAAACAAACGGACAGAAATAAACCACCCTTTTTTTTCATTTGCTGTTAACTTTTTTATTATGGAAAAACTTCCAACCTACAGAAAGTTGATTAACACAATGAACATCCCACAGCCCCGCCATTTAAATACAACAAATGTTAACTTTTTGGTATATGTGCTTTATCTCTGTACACGATATATACACGTTTGCTTCATATAATATATATATTTAATTTTTTAATTAATTAAAATAATTTTTTGCTGAGCTATTTAAAAGTAAATTGGAGACTTCATGACTCTTCAAATAACTTCAGGCTGCATATTCTAATATAAGTTCATTCTCTTTTTTTCCTATTTTTTTAAAATAGATTTATTTACTTATTTTAGAGATAGAGCGAGCATGTGCACATGAGCAGGAGGGGCAGAGGGAGAGAGAATCCCAAGTGGACTCCGCGGTGCTAAGTACCGCGGGATTTGATCTCACGACCCTAAGATAGGACCCTGAGATCAGGACCTAAGCCGAAACCAAGAGTCAGATGCTTACCCGACTGCGCCACGCAGGCGCCCCTATAAGTTCATTCTCTTATAACTCTCCTAATATTAATTAGCACCCCTGAGAAAATTAACAGGAATTCCCTAATATCATTTAACTCTCAGAATACCCGGTCCGTATTCAAATCTTCCCAGTTTCCACCATGATGTCTTATAGCAGTTTCTTTTTTCAACCAGGATCCAATCACAGCTCATGCATTTGGTTTCTTTAGTCTTTTTTAAAATAGTCCCCCTACTTCTTTTTTATAAATGGCATTTTCTTTGTGAAGACACGTAGAAAGTCTCACATCCTGGATTTGTCTTTGGTTATTTCCTTGTGGTGGTATTGCACTTGTTCTTCTATCTCTAGATTTCCTGTGATGATGTTATGTCTGTCTCCCAAAATCATCTGTTAAAGCCCTAAACCCCACTACTTCAGATGTGACCGTCCTTGGAAATAAGGTTGTAGCCCATGTACAGTGGACCCTTGAGCAGCACAGGGGCTAGGGGTACTGACTTCCCACACAGTTGAAAAGCCGTGTATAACTTTTCACTCCTCCCAAACTTAACTGCTAGGAGCCCACTGTTGACCAGAGCCTTACTGATAACATAAAGTCAATGAATACCTATTTCATATGTTCTGTGTATTATATACTGCATTCTTATAATAAAATAAGCTAGAGAAAAGAAAATGTTACAAGAAAATCTTAAATAAGAGAAAATACATTTACAGTACTGTATTGTATTTGTCAAAAACAATCCACGTCGGGGTGCCTGGGTGGCTCAGTCGTTAAGCGTCTGCCTTCGGCTCAGGTCATGGTCTCAGGGTCCTGGGATGGAGCCCCGCATCGGGCTTCCCTGCTCAGCTGGAAGCCTGCTTCTCCCTCTTCCACTCCCCTTGCTTGTGTTCCCTCTCTCGCTGTGTCTCCCTCTGTCAAATAAATAAATAAAATCTTAAAAAAAAAAAAATCCATGTATAAGTGGACCCACACAGTTCAAACCTGTGTTGTTCAAGGGTCAAGTGTAATGAGTTAAGATGAGGTCATACTGGAGTAGGGTGGGTCCCTAATCCAAATGACTGGAAATTTCCTCATAAAAGGGGAAATGCAAAGACAGTCATGCACACAGGGAGAATGCCATATGAACATGAAGGCAGTGAAGGGTGATGTTTCTGCACATCAAAGAGCATGAAAGTTTGCCAGTAGACCACCAGAAGCTAGGAGAGAGGTCTGGAACAGATTCTCCCTCACAACCCTGAGAAGGAGCCAAGCCTGCTGACACTTTCATCTCACATGCCAGAACTGTGAGACAATACATTTCTGTTGTTTTAGCCACTCGGTGCGTGGCGCTTTGTTATGGCAGCCCGGGCAAACACATATACCCATTAAACCGGATGCTAGACCTAGAGATTAGATTTCAGGTTGAACATTTTTAGCAAGAATATGACGCAAAGTGATGTCGTGCGCTTCATATCGCATCACGTAGTGTCAGGCTGTCTCACTGGAAACTGATGTTAAGCGTGATCACTGGGTTAAGGTCATGACTCCCAAGCTGCATTTTTTCCCTTTGCAATTAGAAAGTAAATTGAGGGGGAGGTGCCCCGGCACCACCACACAAGTATGCTACTTCCATCAATCTGTCACCTGATTGTTGTAGCATTCCTTGATGATTTTGCCTGAGTGGATTATATTCTTGCAAGGCAGCAAAATGATGCTACTGTAAAAATTCATTTGCAATTGGTACCTGGCATTCACCTATAAAGAATCAAATAGAGATGAACTAAAGTCTTTCCTACAAAGTCAGGGTAAATGCTTACCTCTTTCCTTTAGTTACCAATTTTCAGAACAAAGTGTTGGTAGAATAACCATCACAAATCGCTAATGAGTTTTCTCTCTCATTTGAGTATCATGATGGACTCATGGTTTTAATTCAGTCAGTCATTATAAGCAAGTACAGTCATTCTTCTTCTTTATGCTCCATTGTCTCACATTGGACCAGTGAGAACCCCTTTAAGCTGGCTCCTGTGGGGGCGCCTGGGTGGCTCAGTTGGTTAAGTGGCTGCCTTCAGCTCGGGTCATGATCCCAGGGACCCAGCCCCACACTGAGCCCTGCACCCAGCCCTGCATCAGGCTCCTTGCTCAGCGGGGAGCCTGCTTCTCCCTCTGCCTGCTGCTCCCCCTGCTTGTGTGCTCTCTCTCTCTCTAACAAATAAATAAAATCTTTAAAATTAAAAAAAAAAAAAAAGCTGGCTCCTGGGTTCCTTTGACACAACCCCATTGGTCTTTCAGTGCTTTCTTGATTTCTGACATAAGAAGCCCCAGCCTCACCTTATACTTTGCCTGGACCAAGCCAAGAATAGACCATTTCTCCAAGAAGCACTGTTTCCTTTCATTAGAGAATGGTATTTAGAAATCAAGATCTGGTTTCAATATAAGCTTATTGCTTCTAGGCCAGGGCAGTGAACAGCACTACAGAATAGAAGGGTACAGTCACAAAGACACTCATGCTCAGAAGAGCCTTGTGTTTGGGGTTTAACGCTCTGTAATTACCATCTTGAAATTCTTTGCAATTTTACCACAAACATTTGTGTTTGGTAAGTGGAGCCCAGTGATAATGGAGCATGCACCAAGGACTTGATGCCTAGGCTCATGCATGGGTCCCCGAGACATGTTCTTGGGGGCTGTTCCCCCATGTGCTGGTGCTCTGGGCCCTGCCTAGCCTCTCCATCTCCAACCCTTCCCATTGTTGTCCTTTGTCCCCAGTGAAAGCCCGGATGTGAGCTCAAGAAAGATCAGGGTTGAGTATGTTTACCCCACAATATCTCGAGACAAGGCCCAGTGGTGGCATTTTCACCCCAGGCTGGCAATGCCACATCACATTCAAGGGCAAGGGTAACCTCTCACCCACTACCAATCCCTGTCACTAATGTTTCCGAGAACCAAGGTTGCAATATACTTGGAGGTCTCCCATTAGCTGTTGGGTTGGGGGCAGAAGGCCCCAGAGGAAGAGGAGAAGCCTGGCTTGGCTTCTCTAACCCCCAGCCTTAGTCTAGAGGCTGGCAGGAGGAGAAACCCAGCAACCATCAGGTTAGAGGACCCACATGCCCCATGTGGAGGGCCTGTGAGCAACTCCACTTGCCATGAGTATCCAGTGCAAAGGGAGCATCCTGGGCCTAGGGAGACCCTTTCTTCTTCCTTCTCACTTCCAGAATCTGGTTTGTGTTAGTCTCTTCTGGCCAGCTCAAGGCAGTCTCCAGGACAAGTCACAAAATAAAAATTGTGAAATTTCAGTTATTCCACATGGGAACTAAATGCTCTTACATTTGCTTTTAAAACTGACATTGCACAATATAAAGATGAAGGGTAAAATCCATGCTAATTATTTAAGATTTTAATGTTTCTTTACTTAGAACAACATAAAATAGCAAATAAAAAACACCATGACAAGTTGAGTAAGAGACCATAGAAGAAAGGAAAAAACTTTATATTTTAGTACTTTAATGGCACTTTAGTCCTGCTTTTTTAAGGATTTTGTTTATTTATTTGAGAGAGAGAGAGAGACCACCAGTGGGAGGAGAGGCAGAGGGAGAAGCAGGTCCCCGCTGAGCAGGGAGCCCAATGCAGGGCTCAATCCCAGGACCCCGGGATCATGTCCCGAGCTGAAGGCAGATGCTTAACCGACTGAGCCACCCAGGAGCCCCTATCCCTGCTTTTTTGAACAAGAGGTCCTGTATTTTCATTTTGCACTGGGCCAAAAATTATGTCGCTGGTTTTGGGAAAAACCATATATATGCGTAATATATATTTATATTTACAATATATTATATACTTTTATATATTAATCATGAGATCCTATTGATATATATGATCTAGATATACATATATATTAATCAGGAGATTGTGTTGATATTTTTCATTCAAATTTAACATCATCGGATTTCCCAAACATTTATTTTATACACGCACATATTTTCTATTACACTGGAAATTTTGGTTCCAAACATAATTAACATAATTAGTTATTTGCTCTACCTATAATACATACATACACCTACATAAGTTTCAAATTTTCAATACCAAGGTTGCTACTAACAATAAAACTACTAAGTAATGTTTAAGATTTCTTTTCAGTTCTTTTTTACTTCAGTATAGTCTAAGTACTATGTTAATAAGTCATTTGAAATAATTCTTGTCTCTCCGTGATTCTGCCACCTCTAATATGCCATTAAGTTCTTTCTTTGTTTCCAATTTTAGGCTTTGCTTTGTCTTCTTTTTCATTTCACTGTACGCTTTGGCTGCTAAACATTTATATATTTCAAAAGTGAATTCTATGTAAAAAGGCATACTCAGAGAAATCTCTCTCCAATTCCCCTTCTCTCCTCCTCAGCCGCTCTGTAAGCCCTCAATAGGTCACCATTTCTATCAGTTTCTGGTTTTTCTTTCAGTATTTTTTTTTTAATGAAGTAGGCTCCACGCTCAGCATGGAGCCCAATGCGGGGCTCGAACTCACGACCCTGAGATGGAGACCTGAGCCGAGATCTAGAGTCAGTCGCTCAACCGACTGAGCCACCCAGGAGCCCCTCCAGTATTTTTTGAAAAAAAAAATAAAGCAAATTCATATACATATTCTTATTTCCTCCTTTTCATATACAAAAGATAAAACGCTATATACATGCTCTGCACATTTTTTAATAAATATAAATAGCCTCTGTACATAGAAATCCTCTCATTCTTTTTATATGCCCATATAATATTTCATTATGAGGTTAAACCTTCATTTATCCAACAGATCCCTTACTGGTGGACATTTCAGATAGTTCCAGTCCTCCCTATTAAAAAGAATGCCACAGAGATGAAAAGCACAGTATAGGGAATATAGTCAAGAACACCACTGCAATAATGTATGGTGACAGACGGTGACTACACTTATCGTGATGAGCACTGAGTAATGTATAGAATTGTCGGAACCCTCTGTTGCACACCTGAAACAAATATAACACTGCGAGTTAAAATGCCACAATAAATAACTTTGTGCATTTATTATTTCATAATTACACAGGCATACTTACAGGGTAAATTCCCAGATGTGGGATTGCTAGGTCAAGGGGTAAATGTAATTTTGATAGATACTGCCAGATTTCCCTCCTTGGGAATTATACCCTGTTACGCTCCCACCGACAACGCATGAGAATGCTCCTTTCTCCACAGGCCTGTCGACACTGTGTTTTTGTCAAACTTTGGGACTTGGGCCAATGTGATTTGGGTAAAATGGTAACAGTGTAGCTTTAATTGGCATTTCTATTATTGTGAGTGAAAGTAAACATCTTTCTGAATGTCATTTGCATTTCTCTGTGAACCCTGCCATTTGCCAATTTTTTCTATGAAAATTTTAGTCTTTTCTTTCTTTTTTTTTTTTAAAGATTTTATTTATTTATTTGAGAGAGAGAATGAGAGACAGAGAGCATGAGAAGGAGGAGGATCAGAGGGAGAAGCAGACTCCCTGCCGAGCAGGGAGCCCGATGCGGGACTCGATCCCCAGACTCCAGGATCATGACCCAAGCCGAAGGCAGTCACCCAACCAACTGAGCCACCCAGGCGCCCTAGTCTTTTCCTTCTTAATTGTTAAGATCTCTTTATTGAGTCAGAGACTACTAGTCTTTTGTCAGTCATATAGATGTCAAATATATTCTCCAGATTTGTCCTTTTACATTTGATTATGTTTATGTGTCTTTAATGTAAACAAAATTTATTAATCTTCTATTTATTGATTTTAAATGTTGAGTCATAGTTCGAAAAGCTTTCTCTACTCCCAGGTTAAAAGGAAATACAAGGAACTTTTGGTTCTGGCCAAGAGGGACTGCTCCATTCCTCCTACGGCCTTCCTCTTACAACTAAGAAACCCTGGACATAACACAACAAACAAGCATAAGAAGACTCTGAAAGATGGAAAGAAGAAAACTGACTTCCTAGGGATGGCAAACTTGACAGCAACAAGGGAACTCTCTGCGTTTCTTTATTGCCTCCCTTATATATCCCAGACAAGGCCCTGCAGAAACCTCCAACCCAGAACTGCCAACAGACACAGACGAAAAAACAAGCCCCAAGAAAAGCTTGATATCCCTAGCCAAAGTACCAGGAAAAGGATGACATAACAACAGAAAAGTTTTGGGTATTATCACCACTACCCCAACCAACCAACAGAAAAACTGCACACCCTCCCCTGCCCCGTGGGATCTTCCAGCCCCCACTGGCAGATGCAGGTGGTGCTTGGATTCCCCTGCAGTGGCACTGATGCTCAGTACTCTAATCTCCCCTCATGCCAAGTGTTAGCAGAACCCCAACAGTGGGGAGCTAAGTATCCACCCCTATCTGGCATCAACCACACTGAACAAGGTGGTGGCAGTAGGGTCTAGTCAGTGTTTCACTATCCACTATTCCCCTGCCTCTGGAGTCAGCAGGGCCCAGTAGGAAGCTGAATCTCCTCCATGCCAACCCAGTTACAAGATTGAACAAGGTGGGATGAAACAGGGCAAGTAGCCACTCCCCTTCCCCGCTAACCACCCGCCCCCCCATCAGCTGGGCCCAGTGGAGAGGTGGCCTCCAGCACCACCCACCATTAATGAGGTGGGTTAATCCAAACTTGGCTTCCCCTCTACCCACGTATTCGGGGGCCCTGTTGGGAAATGAACCTCAATCCTCAGCAGGCATCAACAGGACAAAAGATGGTGGCGAGAGGTAGCGTTTGGTGGCCCTCCACTTTCCTCTTTCTCTCCCTTTGTGTGTGAGGGGCCCAGCTCAAAGCTGAGTACTGCCCCTACCCTGTAGCAAAAAAGCATTGAGTCAACCCTTGGCCTTCCTTCTCACCAATGTCGGTGGGGGCTGGTGAGGAGCTGACTTTACATCCACACTAGGAGGCAGAGAGGTGTCATGAATCAGTGCCTCATTTTCACTGGAAACGTGCTAATGGAGCCAAGGACAGAGCTGAACTTCCATCCCATATATCTATAATGAGGCAATGAGAATCAGTGCTTACATTTGCCATAGTAGGATCATTGGAGACCAGAAGCTGAAACTATATACCCACTCAGCCCTCCTCCTACACCTCAACCAGGGACTGCCTATTAAAAAAAAAAAAAAAAGAATTAATAAGATCCAGAGTCTACAAATATAATATCCAAAACATTCAGGATATAACCAAAAGTCATCATAGCAGGAACCAAGAAAATCACAACATGAATGAGAAGAGATAATCAACAGAATGAAGACAAATCAGATGAAGAAATTATTTGACAAGGATTTTAAAGCGATCATCATAAAAATGTTTCAATAGGCAGTTATAAATTCTCTCCAAACAAATGAAAAAATATAGAAAATCTCAGCAAAGAAATAGAAGTTATATGAGAGAACCAAATAGAGACCCATGAAATGAGGAACAGGACAACAATACAGAAAAATCGATGACACAAAAGAAAGTTATTTTTAAGAAATCAATGAAACTGATAAACTCTAGCAAGACTGACAAAGATAAAAAAAACTAGAAGACACAAATCACCGATATAAGAAATAAAACATAGGTTATCTCTACAGATCCTGAAGGCATTAAAAGGGTAATAAAGGAATACTACGAATAACTGTATGCTCATAAATTTGAACACTTAGAAGTGAACCGATTCCTCCAGGGGCGCCTGGGTGGCTCAGTTGGTTAAGCGACTGCCTTCGGCTCAGGTCATGATCCTGGAGTCCTGGGATCGAGTCCTGCATCGGGCTCCCTCCAAATCCACAAGCCACCATATTCAACCATCATAAAGAAATAATAAGCAACCTGAATAGTTCTATAACCACTGAAAAAAAAAAATGAACTTGTAATTAAAAAGCTCCTGAATGGTCTCACTGAGAATTCTACCAAACGTTTAAAGAAGAATTAACACCGATTTCACACAATCGGTTCCAGAACATAGCATAGACAGGAACACTTTCCGACCCATTTTATGATACTAGTATGACCCAGATACCAAAACCGAACAGAAACAGTACAAAAAAAGAAAAACTACAGAATATCTCTTGTGAACTTTAGTAACACAAAACACCTCTGTAAAATATTAGCAAATCTAATCCAGCAATGTATAAAAGGAATTATACAGCATAACCTTGTGGGATTTACTGCAAGCATGAGAGGCTGGTCGAATATTCGAAAATAAACCATTGTAATCTACCAAGCTAAAGAAGGCAAATTATATGAGCTTATCAACTGACACAGAAAAGGCTTTTGACAAAATCCGATACCCAGTCATGATAAAAACGTTCAGCAAAACAGGGATGAAGGGGAACCATCTCAACTTGTTAAGAAACATCTATAAAAAACTACAGCCGGGGCGGCTGGCTGGCTCAGTCAGTGCACGACTCTTGATCTCGGGGTTGTGAGTTCGAGCCCCATGTTGGGTATAGAGATTACCTAAAAATGAAATCTTAAAAAAAAACACAACCCTACAGCTGACATCTTACTTTAATGGTGAAACACTGAATGCTTTCGTCCTCAGATTGGGAACAGGCAATAACGTGCATTCTTAACACTCTTACTCAACATAGTGCTGGAAGTTCTAAACACTGTAGTAAGAAGAAATAAAAGGCATATGGATTGCACAGGAAGAAATGAAACTACCTAGAGGCACCTGGGTGGCTCAGTCGTTAAGCGTCTGCCTTCGGCTCAGATCATGATCCCAGGGTCCTGGGATCGAGGCCCGCATCGGGCTCCTTGCTCCGCAGGAAGCCTGCTTCTCCCTCTCCCACTCCCCCTGCTTGTATTCCCTCTCTCACTGTGTCTCTCTCTGTCAAATGGATAAATAAAATCCTTAAAAAAAATTTTTTTTAATTAAAAAAAAGAAATGAAACTACCTATTTGCAGGTGACATGATCATGAGGCTAGAAAATCCTACAGAACCTATAAAAACACTCCTAGAAATAAGAAGTGAGCTCAGCAAGGTTGTAGGATACAAGATCAACACACAAAATTAATTGCATTTCTGTATACTAACAAACATGTAGAAGCAATATTCCAACTACAATACCATTTACAGTCTCTCCAAAGAAAATGAAATTCTTAAGTATACACTTAAGAAAGCATGTATAAGATCTGTATGCTGAAAATTACATGCTGAAGAAAGAAACAAAGCCAAATTAATGGAGAAACATACAGTGTTCATTGATTGGAATACTCAACATAGTATAAAGATGCCATTCCCCCCCCCCCAAATTAATCTATAGGCTTATTGCAATCCCAACCAAAATACCAACAAGGTTTTTCGTAGGCAAGACAAGCTTATTCTAAAATCTATTTGGAAAGGTACAGGCCCTAGAATAGCTAAAACAGCATCGAAAAAGTAGAATAAACTGGTAGGGATCACTTTTCCCAATATTAAGCCCTACTACATAGCTACAGTAGTCAAGACTACGTGATATTGGTGGCGGAATGGACACATCAGTGAATGGAACAGAATAGAGAAGCCAAAAATAGACCCACATAAATATGCTCAATTGCTTTTTTTTTTTTAAGATTTTATTTATTTATTTGAGAGAGAGAAAGCATGAGAGGGGAGAGGGTCAGAGGGAGAAGCAGACTCCCCACTGAGCGGGGAGCCCGATGTGGGACTCGATCCTGGGACTCCAGGATCACGACCTGAGCTGAAGGCAGTTGCTTAACCAACTGAGCCACCCAGGCGCCCTGCTCAATTGCTTTTTGACAAAGGTGAAACACAGTTCAGTGGAGGAAGAATAGCCTTTACAACAGACACCGGTGGGGCAACTGAACGTCTAGAAGTAGGGAAAAACCACCTTTACCTAAACCTCATACCTTATGCAAAAAAATAGCTAAAAATGGGTCACAGACATAAAGATAAATGTACAATTGTAAAACTTTTTATAAAAATGATAGGAGAAAATCATCACGATCTAGGACGAGGCAAACATCATGACTAGGACTGGGCTCAAAAGCATGATCTCTAAAACGGAAACTGATAAATCATACTTCATCAAAGTTTAAAACTATTGTTCTGTGAAAGGCCCGCTTAAGAAAGTAAAAAAGACAAGCAACAGATGAGAGAAAAATCTTTGTGAACTACATACTTGACAAAGGATCAGTATCCAGAATTACAAAGAACTCTTGGGGCGCCTGGGTGGCTCAGTCGGTAAAGCGTCCGACTCTTGATCTCAGCTCAGGTCTTGATCTCAGGATTGTGAATTCAAGCCCCTTGTTGGGCTCCAAGTGTGGAGCCCACTCTAAAAAAAAAAAAGAAGAACTCTCAAAACCCAACAGTAAAGAAAACGAACAATACATGAGAAAACACGCAAAAGCCCTGAACAGACATTTCATCAAAGAGGATATACGAATGGCAAATAAACACATAGAGATATGTTCGACATCATTAGCCATCAAGAAAATACAGATTTAAACCACAATGAGGTATCAGTACACACTTGTCAGAATGGCTATAAAAAAAAAAAAATAGTGAAAATGCTTAGTGCTTTCAAAGATGTGAAGAAACCGGATCACTCGGACATCGCTGGTGGGAATGGAAAATGGCGCAGCCACTCTTTTTTTTTTAAGATTTTATTCATTTATTTGACAGAGAGAGACACAGCGAGAGAGGGAACACAAGCAGGGGGAGTGGGAGAGGGAGAAGCAGGCTTCCCGCAGAGCAGGGAGCCCAATGCGGGGCTCGATCCCAGGACCCTGGGACCATGATCTGAGCTGAAAGCAGACACTTAATGACTGAGCCACCCAGGTGCCCCAGGGCACAGCCACTCTGATAAAGAGCACAGCCCTTTTCCAGAAGACTAAACATAGCTTACGGTACAACTCAGCAATTGTACTATTCTGCATCTATCTGCAAGAAATGAACACTTACGTTTCCACCAACACCTGTACACAAATGTTCATATACATTTTCTTAATGATAGCCTAAAGCTGGAAATAACTCAAATGTCCTTCACTGGGTGAGTGGTTCAACAAACCGTGGTACATCCATACCAATAAAATATCATTTAGCAATAAGAAGGAATGAACTATTGATACAGCAACAATTTGGGTGGATCTCAAAGGAATTAGGCTGAGAAAAAAAAAAATCCCATCTCAAAAGGTCACTTGCTATATGATTCTATCTATACCGCATCCCTGACGGGACAAAAGTATAGAAATGGCGAGCAGATTAGTGGTTGCCGTAACTCAGCGATAAGGGAGGAGGGTGTGGCTGCATAGGCAACAGGAGGGATCCCTGTTGGTGATTAAGTGTTCTGCATCTTGACTGTATAGTATCCTGGTTGTGATATTGTCCTATTGGTGGATATGGAGGCCTCCATAACAAAACACCATAGACTTGGTGGCTTAAGCAACCAACATTTATTTCTCACAGTTCTGGAGGCTGGAAGTCCAAGATCAAGGTGCCACAGATTCAGTTCCTTGTAAGGGCCCTCTTCCTGGTTTGCAGATGGCTGCCATCTTGCCGTCTCCTCACACGGCCAAGAGACAGAGCTCTGGTGTCTCTTCCTCTTCTTCTAAGGACATTAATCCCATCATGGGGCCCCTACTCTCATGACCTCATCTAAAACTAATTAACTTGCAGAGGCCCCACCTCCAAATACTATCACACCGGAGGGTAGGGCTTCAACATATGAACTGGAGAGGGACGCCCAAACATTCACTTCATCATAGGTGTTTTTTTTAATTATTATTATTATTTTTTAAAGATTTTATTCATTTATTTGACACAGAGAGAGAGAGAGCAAGAGCACAAGCAGGGGGAGCGGCAGGCAGAGGGAGAGGGAGAAGCAGGCTCCCAGCTGAGCAGGGAGCCCAACGCGGGGCTCGATCCCAGGACCCTGGGACCATGACCTGAGCCGAAGGCAGACGCTTCACCGATTGAGCCACCCAGGTGTCCTATATTATTGTGATAAAATATACATAGCTTTAAGGGTACAATTCAGTGGCCTTAAACATATTCACAGTGCGGCGTAGCCATCACCACTATTTCCAAAGCTTTTTCGTCGCTCAAAACAAAAACACTGTAACATGAGTAATTAATCCCCATTCCCCTTCTCCCCCAAGCCCCTGGTAACCTCTGTTCTACTTTTTTGTCTCTATGAATTTGCCTATTTGTGCTATAGTTTTGCAAGATGTTATCAGCAGGGGAAACTAGGTAAAGGGTACACAGGATCTCTCTGTATTATTTCTTACAACTGCATATGAATCCACAATGATCTCAAAATTAAAAAAAAAAACTTTATTCATGTGTTCCTCCATTATTTGTATGATTTCATGTTTTTTATCATTATTAGATCTCGGATCCATTTACTAATTAACCTCTTAATGAACTGAAGTGGATGTCAGACAAGCACCCCTCTTCCCCAGCACCCCCACTGCCAACCCTTTCTACACTGGATCAGATCATTTTGGTCTTTTCAGCTTCTTTTATTCCCACTCTACCCTTCAACCATTTCAGCAGATGTTCCCAGCAGACAGTGTACCTTCAAAGGAAAGACCGAAATTGCAACAAGCACAAAATGAATACATAACTCTAATAAACATCGACTCCAGTGACAACAGGAAAAAATGACAGGGATTTATTGACTGCTAGGAATTCTAGATAATTGACTCATTTAATCTTTACATCAACATTGCAGGAAAGGTATGATTGGTCCAACTTTATAAATGAGGAAGTTTAATCTCGGTGAGGTTAACTAAGCCAAAATCATGTCTATTAAAATGATGGAGTGGTTATAAGAATGCAGGTACGTTTGGCATAGGAGCTTATGCGCTCTCCTCTGTGAAGAACTGAACTGAATCCAGGAACTCTCATTTAGAAAGCAACAGGACATTCAGTTGGCCCAGGTCCTTCCTTGTCCCAGGTCCCAGAAATGCGTACCAGACGCTAGCCCTGTATTAGGTTGCTAGGGCTGCCATAACCCAATGCCACAAACTGGGTTGCTTGACAACAGAGATTTATTTTCTCACAGATTTGGAGGCTAGAAGTCCAAGATCAAGGTGTCGATAGGTCTGGTTTCTCCTGAGGCCTCTATCCCTTGTCTTGCAGATGGCCACCTTCTCTTCCCTATGTCCTCACGTGGTCTTTCCTCTGTCCGTGCACATCCTTTGTGTTTTTTTGTGTTCAAATTTTCCTGGGACACTAATCAGATTGAAATCGGGCCCATCCTAACAGCCTCATTTTAACTAAATCATCTCCTTCAAAGACAGTCACGTTCTGAGGTACTGGGGATTAGGGCTTCCGTATATAAATTTGGGGGGCATACAATTCAGCCCACAATGGGCCCCGAGACTGGGGCGGGGGAAAGAAAGTTCATAACCCAGAGAAACCCCTCTACAAAATCATATGTGATTCAAGTGGGTACAATCCTTCTGTTCGTTTCCATTTCATCCGGGTCTAGGGTCTTTCGAACTTTTTTTGACCATACCCATGGTAAAAAAAAAAAAAAAAAAATTGTAAACGCATTTTGCATTACAGCTTAACACATACATATTTATTTTTATAAAACGGGACAAGTTTCACAAATTCTGATCTTACCGTGTACAACGTATTTTTCTATTTTATTCTGTTCTTTTTAATTAAAAGACTGCTAGCTGCCCCCTCACTGAATTGATTTTAGGAACTACTCTCTTTTACGACCTGCCGTTTGAAAATCAATGCTCTAATTTGTGCTGTCAGCTGTGATTGTCAATTTTTTTGTGTTCATTCTACCCCCACCCACACCCCCGTTCTCAGAGCCCCGATCCTCCTCTCCCACCGCCCCACACATGTCCTGGATCAATTGGATTTTTGCTTTTTTCAAAGCCTTGACCCCCTCATTCATTAGTTTCAGTCCTTAATTCTATCGGTTCTGTCAAATGCCAGGGAAACCGGGGCACCATTTCCTCGGTAACAAATAGAAACTCGCCATCTAACGGTGGAAGAGAGACAATGCAGACCTATTTTTAGCATCCTTCTTCCAGGTCTTTTCTTTCTCTGCTCTCCCCCATTATCCCTGTTTGATGCAATTTTCACAAACACTTAGCAGCATTTTAACAGGAGCTCTTTTAAAATCTTCTTGACGTTCTGTACATTTAGTGACTCCTTTCACGGAAACTTGAAGATCCGGGTGTTAGACGCCGCTCTGGGCCATGCTGGTTGTGACCTTGAACATGCCTCTTACCTGAGCCTCAGCTGTCTTAACCACAAAAGTAACCTGATAAAAGGTGCCCTGGCAACTTCGTCCAGTTGTCTTGCGGTTCCACAAAGAAAATACAGCTTGCGTCTGCCTCTCCCCCCTCCTTCTGTCCATTTTCAACACACCAGCCGGATCCTGTTAAATCTAAGTCAGATCGTGTCCTTCCCTGCTCAAAACCCTCCACTGGGTTCTCAGAGTCAAAATCCAAGTCCTTACGGTTACGGAAAATGTCCTACATAGTGTGATCCGCTCAGCCCCCGGATACCACCAAGCAGGGATGGTTGGCTTCCATTGGGCCAGGGATCGGAATCAAGTGGAAGATCAGCTTCTTGCTTGGCCCCACTGGAAGAGCGCTGGGGGACTGTGATGTGATTGGCTGGAGCAGAGTGGGTATTACCAAAAAAGATTGGCTGTTCTGTAAGGCGACCCTTTTCCTGTTCCTTTGGCTAAGGGAAACAGGCTTTTCTTGGAGCTTTTTTTCGGTCTGTGCCTGTTGGCAGCGGCCTGGAGGCTTCTGCAGCCCCTGGTCCAGGATATAATGGGAGGCAATGAGAAAGCAAAGGAAACTCACTCCCATGTTGTTCCTCAATCCTGCCGTCCCTAAGCAGTCCCCCTTCTTCTTTCTACCTTCCAGAGTCTTCCTATGCTTGTTTGTGTGTTATTTCCAGGGTTTTTGTTTGTTTGTTTGTTTGTTTTAGTTGTAAGAGGAAGGACCTAGAAGGAATGGGGCTACTTCACTTGGGAGAGAATCAGAAGTGAATAGTAGGCTCGACAGCCTCTAAGGAGGGCCTGGATATTAAAAACACAGAACGTTGTTTGCACTGCCTTACAGGAACCCTTCCCACACAGCACTGAAGAACCACCTTCCCTAGGAAGGGCAGAGAAACTTCTGTGTACCTATCTTGCAGATGCAATAAAACAAGAAAAAAAAAACCCAGCTAAGGTTGTGGAGGTTTTGCCCCTAGCAGAGGCATCCCACTGGGGCAGTGAGCAGGGCTGAAATGCAGTCACATTCCCCTTTCAAAATTCGGTGCCCTGGTGTGGGTAAATTCTCTGCTTCC